TATGCATTTCTTTAAAGAGGAAAGAGGGAGTGAGTGATACCTTGTGAACTGCTTTCAGTATGGGGCATAAAATGAAGTGATGGAAAGACACCCCATCTTCAGACGCTGACTATTAAATCCAATAGAGGTTCGAAGTCAAAATGCGCACACGCGGCTGTTCACCGATATCTAGCTGAGCAGACTGCCTACGTGTTTGCTGAGGTCAACACCAACACCGTAAATACCTTGAACCATCAACACAGTATCGCCAAAGACGCGAAGAGTGTAGTCATCACCGTCAGATTCAGAACCAGGGAGTCGAACATTGGCTACAACACTGTTATCTTGAACATGTGTTTCGGAGACAGCACATATCAATACCAAGAGAGTGAAGAGTGAGAGTCAGTGCTGGCTGCTGGTCGATCTGACCTAGAGTGCGGAGGTTAAAAGAACCAATGTGTAATGAGAATCAAGGTTTGATGGAAAAGCTACATGTATCGATGGCAGCAGCAGTCTCATGCTCAATAGACAGGGTGGTGGATAGATCCTGACAGATGGTCTACCCACTGCTGCTACCGTTCTGCCATGAGCTCATGTTCTGGACGCCTCCTCACGGCGACCGCTGGGTGGGAGTTGGGTTTCACCCTTCACCCTGCTAATATCCAGGACACACCAATCCGCATGAGTCAGTGAACTGACCATGTGCAAGACCCGCTGCCTCTCAGGTGTATATTTAACCGAAGGTTTTGGCTGGGGACGCGAGTTGTCCTCCTGTCAGGTGTGGGCACCCTGCCAGTATCCTAGTCCATCCTCTTCGGAGGTTAGGAAGTGGTCGATGGCCCGCATCCCGTAAAACCTAATCTTGGGAGACAACAGGTCTACAGTTTATAAGCTCACACCTCGATTGGCGTAGAATACGAGCGCCACGGATTGTCGCTGACAGTGAGAGGGCACCTCCGGGTGTTTAATGGTTTGCTACTGCCCGCCTCAGGCCAGGCAGCCCCTAGTCAAATTGGTGCAAACCCGCCAAAACCCACCTGCGTCTGGCCCTGGTCGCAGGTGTATCCTAATACGGTCGCGTCAGGAAATGCAAGACGAGCATTTACAATTCATTGTGAAATTGCATCGCCAATACCGCCACTAGCCGTAATGCAACTCCCGAGGTAAGTAAAGCTGTTAATGAGCTCCAGGCTGACACCCGAAATGGTGAACGTAGGCACAGGAGCCTGTCAATCCTGGAGTAAAGTTTTACACTTGGATGGAGCAAAATACAGACCGTAGTTAGATGCCTCTATCGCCAAGCGGTTCAGAATGTTTTGAACAACCTACGAGTCGTCCCCCAGCAAAGTGTCATTAGCTTAGTCCATGTCCACGACTCTACTCCCGGGTAGAAGCTCGACGCCATAGTTTTGGGCTCCTTCCAGTGTGCGATGTAGGACTTCTTCGATGGCAAAGTTGAACAGGAACGGCGAGATAGAACAACGTTGGCGCACTCCAATGGTAATAGGAAACGAAGAAAACCTGCCATAAGCTCTAACTTTGTCAGAGATGTGACTATAAAGCTCTTTCAAGAGTATGACAAACTTGTCGAGAACGCCGTTCCGTGACAGACAGTTCCACAGTGACGATCTATCTACTGAATGAAAAGCGGCTCTGATATCAAAAAACGCCGCCATTCTTGGTCTTCCGTGGACATGACGATGTTCGAGAATTTGACGAAACGTGAAAATCTGGTCAATGCAACCACGGTCAAAAGGAAGGTCAGCCTGTTCCTTACGACAAACCCTTGCGGGTAACTGAGCCTACGAAGCAGAATGGACACAAAAAGCTTGGACGCGACAGTAATATTCCTCGGTTGGTGCATTCACTACGAGGGCTCTTATCGTGGATCGGAACCACAACAGATTCTCCCCATGTGTTAGAAACCTTCTTATCGCTCCATGCTTTTGTGAACAACGATAGAATTTCGGTGACAAGTAAGTTCCGCCCATCTTTGAAGAAGGCTGGAGGAAGATTGTTAAAGCCAGGAGCTTTGCGGCGTTTCAGAGTCTGTATTTCTCTCTGTATTTCTGCTTCAGTGGAAGGATGTATGCAGTCTGAGCAAGGACCACAATATCACAGTGGATGTGTAACCGGAGGTTGTGTTGGGCACTCAAACTGTACAGCAAAGTGCACTGCCCAGCGATCCAGGCGTCTGCATAGGTTGGTGATCTTTGTACCGACTGACTCACATATAGGCTGACTGATGACCCGAACTTTGGGTCCGGTGGGTCTGAAGAAATAAAACAACCTGTGGCTGTTATCAGCAGACGCAGCAACTTCCATTTCCTTGATCTGTTTAAACCCCCAGGATTCACGGTCACGGCGAAGACCCGCATCCAGTTGTTGGGAAATAGAACGGCGGAGCTCAGCGTGCTCCACACTGACGGGTAAGGCTTGCCGATAGTCGAGTTCTGCGGTGGCCGAGATCCAACTTTTAGTTGTACAATGAACAAGACCGCAACTGGATAAACCCGTTGAAGACATAATCTGGTGCAACCGCGACCAATGCTGAGCAACGCCCCGAGGAGGCGGGGAAATGAGATTTTCACGAAGCTGCTTTTGATATTCCAATTGCAAGGCGGGGTCTTCCAGTTCACCAGACTTAAGTCGAGTTTGGCTAGTCTTAGGCGAGCGAACGAAACGCATGCAAACCGACGCACGTAATAGCGCATAATCAGTTGCCACGCACGTTGCCCAATAGGATCTGCAGTCCCGAATATTGCCACGTCAGCGATGACTTATGGCGATGTGGTCAATCTGTGACCAATGTTGAGGGGATGATGGAGTGTTCCGGGTAGCGTAGTGACGTCTAGGGTGGCGAAAGTTCGTGTTGGAGAGGTAAAGTTAGTAGACGGCACAAACGGAGTAGTCTTTCTCCATTGTCTGAGCGAAAGTTATCGTATCCATGCGGGCCCCTAAGATGGCGTTCGCTTGGGAACAAAGGAAAAAACGGGAGTTGAAATCCCTCACCATAATAATGATGGCCCTTTTGGAGGCCCTTAAGAGCAAACCATGAAGGTCCTTGACGGTATCCGGGTTAGTCAGTGGGAGCATAGGCGGAGATTACAAAAAGAGCACGTTTGTCTTCTCGAGGCCTGTTAACCTTGCACGAGTCATGGAGCGTGACAGCACAAACGTGACTGTTGGCCGGGATCAATTAGAGAAGCGCGGATTCGACTGTGGTACTAAGGGCGACTCCAACACCAGCTTGCCCAGAAGCGGTAGCCTCGGCGTCTCCAGAAAGTCGAAGGTGTAAACGGGTAAATGGATGAATTGGTGACGACAATGGGTAGACTGTGCTGGAATCCTGAAGTCGTGTTTCGGACAAACAGACATTAATTGCAAGAGTTTCTCGAGTGCGTGTGAGACCGATTTGTTGCCCAATCGGTTTTAGGGTGTGCATATTGAACGGCGCCAAGTTGAACTGTGTCTTCGGTGGCAGAGGCAGAAAGGGAAGAATTTGAGACTGTTCAATCCAGGTTTGGCGCTGTGATTATGTCAGAGGATGGTGCGGAAACAGTGAAATCGGAGGAAGCAATGCTGTTCATAGTTGACTGATCAGATAAAAACGGAGAATGATAGGGGGAAGAGTAAATAAGCGAGTGGAGTATGATGGAAGTATTTGCAGTAGCAGCATGAGCAAAGCATCAGTAGAGCGAAGAGTGCAGTTCAGTTCCATGGTTCATCAGTAGGCGAGATACTACTCGGTTGCCTAGGCCGAAGTAGGGGTTGTCTTAGGGGGGCCGCCACCCCGAGCCTTTGGCCCAACAGCCTACTGGCAAGGCAGTGGGGCGAATTCAGGGAATCTCACCCATTGGGAATCTGTGACCGAGCACTCGGTTCATACGCTTTTCGTTTGGTCAAGTACCAAACAGGGGTCCAATCCTCCCCACGATGACAATATCTGGCAGCTAGAATACACTGCTCCACTGGAGTGAAGCAAGGAGCAGTGACTTTATTTAGTGGCGAGTCACATCCACCACGTCGCAGTGTTGGTAAACGGACATATGCGGCTTTTTATAGGGAGAACGCTTGCCAGGCGAAAACCCACCACCTCCTGCAACACTGTAGCCGAAACATTTGCTGGAACGGGGAAATCTCGAACCACCCAGCTGGCACGACGAGGGAAAATGACACTCTCCAGATGCCCATTCCGAGAGTTTGTTCGAAGTGCCCTACCTCTAGCCTTTGACTCAAGAGTCTGACCCATAACGCAGTGGGATACATTAAGGTTCGTTTGATGGACCCCACCCGGAGCCTTTGGCTCAATATCCTGACCCACAAGACAGTGGGGAGCAAGTGCAGCTCGGGAGTGTGATTGCGAAGACCCATTGGGATCTGCTTGAGGCCTGTCACACAGCCTTTGAAGATTTAAAATAGTTCACATGTGTATAAACGTCTGGTACACAAGACTAATCAAACTCTAAGGGCCGAAAAGACGAAGCTCAGGAATGGATATACACATAAATAATGGGATTCCAGTAATGTGGCACCAGGATCAAAATATGTATGGCCTAAATATTTTGCCTATCTGACTGCACTGAAGCATGCGCCTTATCGTTGCACAGTTGTTTGTGACGGTATGTTGTTGACAGAGTGTAGGTGCCCTGACCCTGAGTGTTTGGTTAGGGCACGTGAGTTTTATGCTAGATCTTTTTTCCATCTTATTGTTCTTTGTTCTGTACGCCAGCGAAGAATCGAATGTCTTATGTTCAGCTGTTGATGATGACACGTCTCGAAAGTACCACATCACAGTAGTTTAGCTAAGTAAGATTGTTTAAGGTTCATCGTGATGTTTCGTAGAACGAAGGTTTTATAACCAACTCTCAGCAATGATCAAAGTAAACTAAGAGTTGTTCGTTTGTGGATTCCGCATTAAGGTAGTGCACCGCGTTCGGATAGCTTTATTTTAACGCAATACCGACAATTGTGTTGAACGAATAGTATGGAAACCAAGCATGATATCGTTGGATACTCACTTTGAAATCCTTTTTCCCCGTAACGAAAAGTAAATGATGCTTAGTCAATGCCAACTTTTCCGGGAATATTGCGAGCTTCGGTCCACAGAGCCTAGAGCCAATGAGATTGTTCACTTTAATTAGAGATGCCTGCTCCATTCGTATGATAACATTGGCAAGCTAAAGAAACGATAAGCATCATATAGGTTGAAATGCAAACCTAAGGCACAAGGAAGTTAATGATGAATGACAAGCAGCAACAAGGTCGTTAATAGCATGAGCCAAATAATAACAATCTAATACACTAGACAGGTCACTAAAAAGCAGCCGGAATGTATTGGTAAGCAATAGTTGTGGGTGTGCCTCGCGCCCAAAGTAAATGCACAGGTGTGCAAAGTCTGCGACGGAGTTGCATAAGACGCAAGATCCTAAGTTAATCGACTAGCCCTCCGTTAAATGTTTTCGTGGTGTTTAAGCATGTTTCGCATCCTTTGTAAGCCTACGGCATCTGAAGCTGAGATACAAGATGCGACTACAGCACCTAACTGGCTTCGCGCTTTTGGTTCGGAATTTACAGGGTTAGTGTTGTCTAAGGATGATACCCTCTGCAAGGAACTGACCCACTTATTCGAAAAGGTATCGAAGTAGCAAACAGTTCCCTCTAACTGGGGCACGGTGGCAATATACAGGAGGAACAGTTGCATCGTTTGCGCCAACCGCTAGGGCTTTCGTTTGTCGACTGTGGTAACAAAGCTGTCACTCTTCAGCCCAAGTGAGAAAAACAGGCAAGTTAACGGCGGTACAATAGAGAAATCAACCTATCCCAGGTCCACTTTGATTGTGTTCCTCGATTTCGATCCACACATTTTCAAAATAAATTGTTCGGTAATATGTTCTCAAATATGTGAACATGTGCATCAGGGTCTATGGTGAATCGTCGGACGTCTTTTCGACAACAAGTGGCGCTTAACAGGGTTGTAAAATGTCACCAACTTGGAAGTTAGCCCCTACGTACTTTGGATTATTCGCTGGCCATCTTGCTTTCGTTTCCCACCGGCTTCTAAGCTTACAAAGCGGGCAGAGCGAGTTAAACCCTGAGCTAGTACGCGAAGCATGCGCCAAAACAACCGAAGACTGTGCAATGAAATTAGGCAACTAAGCAGTCGACAGTCTCATTTGAAAGTTTGTCGAGGAACATCATTACTGATGTGATGTCACCATCGTATGCCAGCAATGTTCCGAAGGCAGTAGTGAACAAAAACAGACAGTTTCAGAAAAGTTTTTACGCAAATGGAACGAGCCAAGCAGAGATGTGGTAGGAGCACCCCAACCGTAGCATGATAGACTCGAACTTGGAGATAAGCTGAAATCACAACAGCGTCCTAGATGGTGAAAATTAGCAAAAGCACGCCGCTAAACTGTCAGCGTTGAAGCGGCTCCCTAAGTAAACGAACCCGCTTCCAAAGAATAATCCAAGTGGGTGAGAGAAGCAGCTCCCAGCCAGTATTACAGGACGAGCTTACGTTTCGGTAGAGCGAAGATCGTTCTGATCAGGAAGACAGACACCTTCAATTTAGGCAGTACATTTTGGGCGGTCTGCGAGGAATCGTAAATTATCATGTGTCTGCACAATCTAAGTCGCCCCCCTAGAAGTAGCTCGATTCCGCTGGGTTCAAAATTCGCCTGGACACTTCGCTATGAATGGCACACTGTCAAGTTTGTCGTGTAGTCGATGCTCACCATACGGATAATTTGGGTCTGTCATAACCTTGAATAAAAATAATGTGTCAGCTGTAGGCCGTAACAGTGTTTCGCTGCCGCGCAACCACCACCGGTCGCGCGGGGGAAGTATACCGCGAGGACGCCCGCCCCTACGCGGATTCGAACCGGTGGCCTTATGACTGCAAATCAGGTTTGTAGATCACTCGGCCACTGGTCGAATGTAGTAACCTTTAAAGAAGTAAAAACGCTTCCCAGCGGTTGGATCAATACCGCAAAGCTGTCATTATAGCACCCGATACCCAATGCACAGAAAGTTGTTTTAGATTCAAATCGACATAAAGACGAACTATAGAGGATGTACGAAAGTGAAAGGTAAATAGCCACCCAATGTATTCAGCATCATCAAAAGCAATACATCAGGTGTCGTTCAATCACAATGACCTGTGGAACGAAGAATAATAAGAGGGAAAAAAGAGGACCTAACGTAAGATCATAATGCACTAAGCAAACATTCAGGGTCAAGGCGTCTACACTTCAGTGGATGAAGTCCATTGGAGCCTGGTGGGGAGTTAGGGTTCAGTACAAGAAGGTATCTTGACTATCTCGGGATTGATTTCGACTTGTTCGAGAGGAGGATAATGCGTTGCCAGATCGTCAGTGGGTAGTGACGGTTCCACGGAGTAGAGCGAAGAGTACTGCGAGGCAAGTAGTTGAGCTTTCTCGTCACCTTCGTAGAGCACTGTCATCCTCCTGGCAGGACAGAGCAGAGATACCAGTGCCAGCCTTGGTGTTTCGCTTCAGGTACGAGAACAGCTTCTCCGGGCAGGTTCGTGATTGCATGGCTATATTGTGTTCGCATTGTGATCGTTTTTCGTGCTTTCTTAGAGTGTACAGATTTCTAATCACTGCACTTCGAGTAATCTGAGGTTAGCTGTGTTGACTTGAATGTCTCACAGGCTGCGTCGTCTGCTCATCAGGGATCCCACCTCTCGGTCGATCCAAGGGGGAGCCTTTGGAGAAAAACCTGCCCTTGCTGATAGGAACAACTTTTCGATGACCGAGATCATCTTTGAGCGTAGTAAGTTCCATGCATCAGCAAGGTTCAGGGATTGTGGAATGGTCCAGTCTGTAGTGCTTGCCACTTCTTGTAACCTGGATGAGACAACACGCCAGAAGTTGTGACGGTGTGTCCCCTGATCATGGATGGCAAGGCGGCACGCCCAGAAGGTATGTAATCTCAACAGTCTAGCAACTAGACACAGAGCCAACAAAGCCATGGAGATCAGTGGATAGGAGACAGTCATTGCGTCATAATCATCGTGGCATGGTAGTTGAAGGTGGGCAACACACTTCAGCTAATATGCCGCAAGAAGAATGGAACATTTGACAAAAATAGAACAAAACATTTTTAGTTTGTTTGTCACACGCCTATTTTTCTCTTTTTTGTCATTTTCAATGTTGGTAGTATTAAACATGTGAATCAATACAATACTGCACATAATTCTTCCACTGATTCCGGTTGCGGGCCATATCTTCAAGAGTGCTAAGCCATTGGCACTCCTCATCTTTGGGTCCCCATCCTGGAAGACGTACGGATCCAACAGCGGCTAGACACGACGTCAGCGATTTCATGTGCTGTCGCCAAGTGGAAGGCTGACCACCAAGCGGTCGTTTCCAGCCAGGTCCTTGACGAGCGAATAGAGCGCGACGCGGTAGACGCTCAGGTGCCATGAGTAGGACATGACCGAGCCATCTTAACTGGCGCAACAAAACCAGTTTGTTGAAGGAAATACTTGCATTCTCCAAGATGCGACGTCGAATGTCATCACTATTAACTCGATGTTGCCACCAAACACGAGCGATCCTCCTTAAGCAATCGGCATCGAACGCAGAAAGACGACGCATGTCTTCCACGCGAATCGGCCAGGACTCGCTCTCATACAACAGTACTGAGCGAACTGATGCGCTGTAAATGCGGCCCTTTGGTGAGAATGAGACGTCACGACGACACCACAAGTGCCTCAGATTAACAAATGCTGATCGAGCTTTAGCGATACGAAGCGAAGCTCCTTTGTTGATAGTGCCGTCAGCAGAAACACAGCGCCCAAGGTAGACGAAACTACCTACCTGTTCAAGTTGTGCACCTTCGAGAGTGAGCACGGGAGCAGGTGAAAGCCAATCCTTGAGCAGTACTTTACACTTCGATGGGGCAAAGCTCATGCCATACTTAGATGCTTCAACCGCCAAACGATCCAGAATGAGTTGCATACCCTGAGGATCGTCACCAAGTAAGGCGATATCATCAGCATAATCTAAGTCGGTCGCGCGCTCACCCGGTAGAAGCTCTAGGCCAAAATGTTAGAAACCTTCTAGGGCATTCGACAGAACGTCTTCGATTGCGAAGTTGAAAAGGAATGGGGACATAGGGCAGCCCTGTCGCACACCGCTATTGACAGTGAATTGCGAGGAAAGCTTGCCATAGACCCTCACTCTGCCGGATGCATGAAGGTAAAGTGCTCGTAAGATGGCGGTATATTGCTCTGGCACCCCCTTCTTTAGCAAGCAACACCATAAAGCAGGTCGATCAACGGAGTCGAAAGTGGCACGTATGTCTAGGAATGCAACGATAATGGGCCTGTAATAAATGTGTCAATGTTCAAGGAGTTGGTGGAGCGTGAAGATTTGATCCACGCATTCGCGGCCAGGACGGAAACCAGATTGTTCTTCACGGTAGTATGATTCATGTACTGGGTATAATCTACGAAGCAGAATGGATGCCAATAGCTTAGAGGCAACCGAAATAAGACTAATACCGCGATTATTTGCACATGAAGTACGAGCGCCTTTCTTGAAAATTGGGACAATAACTGATTCGCCCCAAGAGGAAGACACTTTCTCTTCATACCAACTTTTTGAGAACAGCGCGGTTAGCTGGTTAATGATCGCCACACCGCCGTACTTGAATAGCTCCGGAGGAAGTTCGTCTAAGCCGGCAGCCTTGAAGCGCTTCAAGCGTCGAATCTCGAGGCAGACTTCTGCTTCGCTGGGTGGATACAATGGGACGAGCCAGGGTGGACAACAACGTGTACTGCATGTACTGATGGTAGAGGCCAGTTGAACTGCGATTGGAAGTGCTCGGCCCAGCGGTCCATACGCCTCTGTTGGTTGGTGATCGGAGACTCATCCACCTCACAAATGACCACACTGACACCAGGCTTCCTGAGGCCAGTGGACCGAATGAGTTGGAAAAGCCCGCGAGTGTTACCAGAGAGGGCAGCAGTCTCCATCTCTAAAGCGCGCTCAGACCACCATGTCTCGCGATCCTTGCGTAGGCTTTGCTTGAACAGCCGATTGGAAGAACGGCGTCGCTCGTTGCAATCTGATTCCGCGGGGATATCTTTGCGGTGTTCGAACAGCTCCAGAGAACGAGCAGAGATCCAAGCCTTTAAGAGCGTCGA